TCATGCACATGGCTCTTCTCTGGACTCTCTCAAGCTTCTCCACATCCTTTTTGAATTGTGGAGCCCAAAACTGGACGCAGTACTCCAGCTGCGGCCTCACTAAGGCCGAGTACAGGGGGAGAATGACGTCCCGGGATTTGCTGTAATTTAAAGTTTACAGCTGCGCATGCCAGGACCTGAGAACTGTAATGCTGAATTCAATTCTCAGCTAATTTAGTGAGGATATAATGGATTATCCAAAACTATGCACAGTTTCTATGGGCAGTTATTTGATGAGGATCGACATTTAAGGAACAATTACGGGGCCATTAAAAAAAAGCTCCTAAAACCATGTTTAAGTACTTAAGAGTCCCACATTTCAAGAGAAGACTCCTATTAGTTCCCATTGCCATCAATGGGATGTGCTGGCAATGCTCAACATTTTTCGAAAATCAGGACACTTGTTTTAAATATAAACCTTTATATTAAAAAAAAAGCTTTATCTTCACCTGATCATTATAATTCTAATAACGATCAGGATTTTAACTGTTACACACGATTCCTGGATATTCCCTGACAGATTTTAATATTCATGCACTGTGGTTTAAAAACAAATCTCTAGAGTAAAAGATGATTCAAGAGCTAATTTTATTGTGTGCAATATTCTTGTCTGTTAAAGACATCTGATATAAATTGCCTTAATTTAAAAACTACAACAAAAATCTATTAGACTTTCTTGTTAAATTAAACCTTCTCAAGAAGACTTGATTAATGTTATACTGCATTAATTAATTTGAAATCTGTTCTCTTTGCATTTAAAGAGCTATCTAAGCACCTTTCCTTCATTCCATTTTCAATCATATGGAATATACTAAACAAAATAATAATATATGTACGTACAGATATGGTACTTTAAGTTAAGACCTAAAACCTGTGCTCCTTTCTATAGTAATGGATAATGAAGAGCTCATAGTAATTTTTATGAGATAACTTGTCTTTATCTTTTCACCTCATCTGCCAAGGGCACTGGATAAGCATCTCACAACACCCCAAAGGTAGCAGCAGTTCATTGGTGTTGTGAGCCTATGGCCTCCTCCCAGCTTATCTGCATAGCCTGGCTTATTTGTGGCTGCCTGCCCAGTCCAGAAAGAAGCCGTAGTGACAGCAGTGCCCAGGTGGGCAGGTTCCCCTTCCCTGCCTGCTCTTCCATGACAGTGCTAAGTAAGCCAGAAGCTATGGGAGAGGGGGAGAGGGGGAGGCAAGTAGAGGGTGCCAGGGAGGGGAATGGAAGGCCTGATCTGGGTGATGACATCATCAGATGTGAAGCCTGCCGGGCACTCCAGCCATGAGCAGGGAGGTGTTGGGAAATACATGGAGTGCCCGGCTGGCTCCACATCTCCCCACTCACGGCCATGGAGTGCCAAGATGGGGGCAGGTAAGACTGAAGCAGCTCTAGCAGCCCTTAAGGGAAGCCACACATGGAGGCACCAGCTGGGAGCAGGGAGATGTGGAGCCAGCTGGGAACTCAGTGTTGTTAAGTCTAAGGAGGCAAGGGGAACCCATGCCTCCAGAGCTGTATTGGGGGGCAGGCTGTGGGCTTAGCTCCCTCCCTGCTTCCCTCCCATGGGGCTGCTGTAGCCCTGCAGGCAAGACCCAGCATGGCTGGGAACAGCGGGGCTGCACCAGGATGTCCTTGCACTCCCATCATGCCTCCTGCACCTGCTGCCGCTCTGAGTGACAGAGCCCTGCGCCGCTTCCTTCAGTGCAGCCTCACATGCAGGAGGTGCATTGCTGGGGCAGCGTTGAGTGAGCAGCCATTAGGAGATTCCTGCATGGCTCCTCTGTCCCCAGCCACACCGGCTCACAGGCAGGGGAGCAGGGCGGCAGACCTAGAAGAAGCTGGGTAGTGTAGATCAGAGATAATCCTGCCCTGTCATGACATAACCTTGAGCCTCTTGAGTGCTTAAAACCACTTTAAGGTGTTAATGTGCAACAGTCTGGGGGTTAAGAGCTCTAGGAGCTACCAAAAATTATCAAGCAATATGGCCCTTAGTTTAACATGATCTGGGTAACACAGACCAGAGATAAATCTACCCTGAAGTGGTGTAATTTTAAGCCATCTAAAGAATGCTTAAACCTAGTTTTGTGTGGTAATGTGTGGACAATCCAGGGGTTAAGATCTCAAGGAGCTGCCTAAAACTGACATGTTTCAGAGCCTTCACACATATGTGCACTCTCCAGCTCTCCTACTTATAGCTCATACCCCCAGCTTCTAGAAAGAGCTTGACTTCCCAGGAAAGGGGCTCTTTTAGCACCATCCAGAGATAGGAGTGCAATTAACCTCACCATGCCCAGCTCCTCTGTAAGCCAGCTATTAACCCCTTCCCTATGAGAATAAAACCCATCCAAAAAACAAACAGACAAACAAACAAAAAACCCACTTTCTATGGGAACAATCAAAAGAAACAACACAACCACATAATTATCACAATCGTGTAAACTGTAAACTGTTTTAGGATCACTGGAGATGGAAGATAAGCTAGTGGTGAAAGCAGTAGGCTCAGAGAAGTCAAGTAGATGGATTCAAATCCTGTGTAATCTTGGTAATTTCTAGATCCCGACTCCTTGTGGTGCCCAATGACTAGGGAGACAACGATCCAATTGCTCAGAGAGGGAACACTAGCACACATTGCTAGCAACAGCTTTATTCAAAATGGAGACAGCTTCAGGAGAACTCCCAAAAAACTGGGGAGCAACTACGAACATTAGTTCTTTCCATATTTATACACCTTGGTTCACGTTCATTAACATTTACTCCACCTTTGTCCCTCCTTTGTTCCACCCATATTCCCTCCTATCTCAAGCTTTGCCTCTGTCTACTGTTTGTTTCATTAGCATGGAATTGCCTATGCATTTCATTTATTTACATAACTTTTTGCTATGAGCACATGCCTAAAACCATGACCTCAGCTTCTTTCAGTCACTTGTGGTTTCTTGCTGATTTCTTCCCTGTCTCCAAGGTCTTGCTTCTGCTTATCTCCTAATGATAGCTGGTGGGCTACATCTTGTGCTTTTTACACAATATGTCATATGTCCTACACACTACTACATTATTAGGAAAATGCTTGCCTAAACATCTTGCAATGTTACTTTTAATATATTATTCTGCTTTGTGGTTAGCAGCTTTGCTGGGCCACAAGCTATAGCCTCATATTCAGCTGCAAATTCAATGTTCCCCAAGATCCAAATACTGTCACCCTAACAGGAAGGATAGAACAATATTTTACAGTGGTCTTGAAGTGCTCATTTTATACCTTAAGTAGGAATATAAAAACACTAAAGTTGGGTGTTTGACCAGTCAAATAAAGTTTGGTCAATTGACCGGTCAAATTTCAGTCAAAAATTGTTAAAATTGCTAACAGGTCCAAATAATACACAGAAAAAGCATATTTTTTTCCTTTAAGAAATGCATTAAAAATTTAAAAATCATACTTCTATCAAGAAAACTACAGAAAAAATGCAGGTTGGGGGGGTTTGTTTTGTTGGTAAAAATGCTATAATCTTTGACTGCTCAAAAAATATGCAGTCTATTGACTGGCTTGCCAACTCTAATAAATATTTCACATGAATAGGAAAACCCATATATCAAATGTAAATTCTACAGGTACATTCTACACATACTTGATCAGGCTTTCTGGAACATAAGGGTTTTTAAAATATATATATAAAAGTGCGAGTTTGAGAGTTCAGCATTCAAGTTCATTGCACATCTGGACACAATTGAAAATCTGATATTTTCTCAAAAACAAGAGCTAGTACTTGAATTGAGGTCATTGATCTCACCCAAGTGAGTGCCACAGCCATGGAAATATCCCAAAGATGTCAATTTCTTTTGCTCCTCCAGCCCCCTTATTGCTGGATCTAAGAAACGTTCATTATGAAAGTTACAATACAACCTAAGTGTTTCTATAAAGAACTCTGTTGTTGCTGGTAAATGCCAAGATGACACAACAACAATAAGAAAAATCATTCCTTTGAAAAAAATCCTAATCAGCTCTAATCCTGAGTATTTACATGAAATCCTATTCCCATAACATCTGAAGGCCTCAGTCTTGAACATATTTATTCCTGAAATGCTTTTGTGAGATACAGAAGTGGTGTTAACCATATTTTGCAAATAGGCTAACAGGACCCAGGATCTGAATGGCTTGTGCAAATTTACATAGTAGGGGTACTCAACCTCTGGCCCATGGGCCAGATCTAGTTTAAGACACCATTTCATCTAGCCTGCAGGACTCCATTGGGGTGGCACCACCCCCCTTCTGCCAAATCTCCAGAGCTATGGGGATCCCCAGGCCCTACATGTTGGATCCAGTGTCTAATACCAGCATGCAGGGCCAAGCGGGGGCAGCACTAGGTCCCCAGGATCCAATCCTAGTGTATTGGGGACAGAAGTGAGCGGTGCTAGGCCCCAGAAACCAATCCCAGTGGGAGGGGGAAGCACTGGATCCCAGAAGTTGCTACTGCCCCTACGCCCCCAGAACCTGGACACATGTGTACACTGATGATGAAGACTAACGGAAGGTATGATAACATTCTCTGGACTCAGCGAATCCTATTTTTCCAGCCATTCCTCCTGGGTCATGCTTCCTGGATCTCTGATCATTCTTGTTTTTCTTCTAAACTCTCTTCAATTGATCTACATCTTTGTTGAAGTGAGGTGCCCAAAACTGGATACAGTTCTCTAGCCAATGTCTTACCAATACCAAACAGTGTCTTCAGTTGTCTCACATGCAACCATCCCATTTATACTTACCAGTATGACATTTGTGTTTTTTTAAGCAACAACATGATATTCTTAACTTGTGTTTAGCTTGACACATTTCAACCCCCAAATACTTTTCTGCAATACTGCTCCATAGTTCATCATTCCTTACCTTCTCTTTGTAAAGTTAAGTTATTCCTAACTAAGCATAACATGTTGTACCCATCCCTATTAAATTTCATCTTCTTTGTTTCAGACCATTTCTCCAATTTGCTGTGATCATTTTGATATGATGTCTTCCAAAGTGCTTGCAACTCAGCCTAGCTTGATACATCTTCTGGTTAAAGAAGTGCAGTTTCTGTTCTGTTATTCAACTCATTAATGAAACTATTGGACTAGTACTAGCCCGAAGATAGACACCTGTAGAACCTAACCTAAATTATCCTTCTGGTTTGACAGTGAACCATCGTTAACTACTCTGAGCATGGTTTTCCATTGAAGCTAATGTAACATGAATGCAGAACTCATCTAGGATACTTTTTATCTAGCTTTCTCATACCAGGTAATGGCAATAGATTTAGAATATTAAAAAATCTATGGATTCCCCTTTATTAATCATACAATTGATGCCATTAATGAAAGATTTAGCAACTTAACTCTTTGATGACCCTTATTTTAAAATGTGTTCAACTTTGATAATCAGAAGTGTCCTGCATTTAGGGTACAATTGGAAAGCTGAGGTCTGTGATTCAGGAAAGCACTTAAGCATAAGAATAAGCCCTTTCCTGAACAAAGATGTTTTCCTGGGTCTCGGCCATCTGTAAAATTTTAAGTTGATAATCTGCTGGGAGCTGTAAAGCAAAATATATTGCCTGAACATGATGTTTCCATTACATTCAGTTGAATTAATCTCAATAAAACTCAGTTATATTTCTAACTCAACTGTAGATTCTTAAATTTGATTTACTCCATCTAATTCTATCTTAGGTGTGGATACATTATATAGCTGCTCATATACCTTAGCAAAGAACATGGTAGATAGAGAAGTAGAGTGAATAATAAATTGTATTATACCATGCTTCATAAAAACAAAATTAAGATCAAAGGGCCAGAAAGTTATTCAAAAGCAAAAAGTGGGTATGGGTGCTAAGCACCAGCTAATTTTTTTTGGTGAGTGCTTGAGCCCTGGAGCACCCATGGAGTCAGAGCCTATGAGAGAGAGAGAGAGAAGATTGGCATGGGGTGGGGACATTTAGGCTATAAATAGAGGGGTTGCAAGACTCACCCTTTTGTATCAATTTAAGGGCATCTGTGCATATAATTTGTTGCTTACCATTGGGCAGTTTTTCTGAGCTGGACTGGTTGTTATATAGACCTGCTAGTGTACTGTCCTAAAAGACAATAAACCTATCTGAGCTTTCACCACTGATCCTGAATGTGTGTAATTCTTTCTGCATCATGCCCAAGAAGCAGGAGGCTGGTTGAAGGCCACAGTCTCTGAGACCACCCTGACCCAAGCAATGTGAACACCAAGAGGGCTGAAGAACATTGAGAAGTTTTCAAAATTTATTTTTGCTCATGCCAGATTTAATAGGAGTCTTAGTTTGGCAGTGCTTCAGTTAGAGAGTCAACTGACAGTGTGGCTAAACTAAGAAGAGTACATTTTCAAACACAAACATGGCAACATTATCAGGGCTATGAAATCACCATACACAAATGCAATGTTAGTGCTGCAAGTTTGACAATATGGTATGCATATTCCTAGATTTGTCCCAGCAACTCAGGCTAGGAGTCCTTAAATCATAAGTGTATTGTGTATACTTACTTAATTTCTTTCTTTGTACCAGTTACCACTATGCTACGTAATTGTGCCAAAAGGCTGTTTTCCATAAACACAGAGCAAATCAGAGATGTAGCAGGGTAGCTCCCCACCCTGGGCACAGGGCAGCACCATCTACCACAGTGCTGATCGTGGTGGTGCAGGTAGCCACTGCTGTTGTGGTGGCCAGGGGTGACACGTAGGGGGTGCATTCAGGTGCATGTGCACCCCCTGAGCCTGGTGGTGCATCCCCTGCAAAAAGGTGCCTGCAAGCAGTTGCCACTCACCACCCCACTGCTGACACCACCGGCGGCGTCTGTGGGTAGTCCACAATCCCCACTGGCCACTGCTGACACTGCTGGTGGCAGCTGTGGGTGGTCACCAACCTTTGGTCAGTGTTCGCCCCGCAGCCCCCCCGCTGACAGTGCCGGTGGTGTCTGAGGGAGCTCCCCCACTTACCACTGCCACACTCCCACCACTGTGCTCCCACCGCTGCTGAGCCCCTGCCAGCTGCCGGGGCATGAGCTGTTCATAGTGGTCGCTATTTTTGCATCCTTCCTCCCCAAAAGGTGGTGCTCAGGGCAGACAGAACAGCATTGGTTGTTTTCATTTCCAGCTGGCTACTTCCAGAAGTTTGAGTACATTTATAATATAGGAGAGAAGACAAAAGTTATTTTTTTCTTTAATTCAAGACATGGGAATGCCATCTGTAGTCCAGTGGAATGATGCATAGAACATGATATTTTATGACAAGAAAAAAAAGAAAGAAAAAATCTGTTCATTAAGCTAAGTGCACAAAGAGTTGTGGAAGAGAGGTCACCAAATTGTCTTTTGAAAACTGCTAAATGTCCCTGTATTATAGTATGGAAACTATGATTGTTAAATTCAAAGGTGTTAACACTTAGATATGCCCATCATCTTCATCTTTTCAGTCCATATTTTGGAATTTCCCTTTGGTCTGAAGAGGCAACTGAAACAAAATCTGCTGTTATAAATCTAGTGTTTTATCCCAAATTTATCAATATCAATCGCTGGAGTTTTTCAACAGAAATCAGAGAGTTTTGGTCACTATTTTCCTTCTGTTCATTTTGAAGCATTATTTCTGCAGCCAAAATGAATTTACCTAGGTGTCACTGTAAAGGCCTACTCTCACTGGACCTTCAGGAAGAAGAATATCTATTTTATAAACTTTGGCTCTGAAGTTATTCATACTGATCCTTGGCTATTTGATATATTACGCTAGTGTAGTGGTTCTCAATTTTTTAGGGCATACCTTGGAAAAAGCTAGTTCTTAGATTCCACTCATTTTTGCATATAGAAAACTAGAGAAATGATTTCACTGCAAACAACTGAGAAAGACCACAACAAGCCAGAATATTTTTGATACAATGACATCCTATTATGAAATCGCTGGGTTTATCCTGTGAGTCATGTGTAATAAGTGTTTGCATATCTAACGATGCTAATATTGCATGTCTCGAGGATCTCATGGACCCCCAGGGTACTGCAGCACACTAGTTGAGACATTGTAGAGCATGTCTACATTGGTTTCCTGTTGTTCTCAATACCACTACCCAGAACTAAGCCTCACCCACCATTTCCCACTGCATACACTCCAATCCAGGAACTGAGATAAGGATGCACTGGATTGTTTGTTCCTGCTGCTCTTGCAGTCTCTGTCTCTGGTCCTCTTAGGAATTGTAGCTGTGGGCACTTTTAAAGTCATCCTCACCATATTTCTGGATTTGGAACATGCAGATCAAAGGCAGATGGGCAGGGTTTTTCTTCTCCTCATGTCTCTATACTACATTTGATCATTTTGTTACATGAGCTTGTTTTCATTTATTGTACTTTGCAAAAACTTTCATGTACGTGTGCCTTCAGGCAGCAGGCACTGAAGCAGGTGTTGCATAGTCTGAGGCTGTGTGCCACAGGCACAAGTGGTTGAACCAATGGTACAGCCCTGCTTCTTTATTAGTTCCTTGGAATGTCTGACTCCCATACATAGGCAGTTGAGACATTGCCACCTTTGCCATGGTTTGCCAGACCCTGGTGGTAAAGACCTGGCTGCTGGAATTAATTTTTATTTTTTTTACTGTCAGTTATTTGTTTCAACTTCTCATCCCATATCTGTAGTTGTGTCTCCTTGGATATGGCATAGAGAGGTTGGGTGTGTGACTTCAAATGTATGTCTGCTGTGAGATGGTCATCCAGTGGGTGTCTCACATCTTCAGTTTGTCTCAATCATTCTATCCTGTTGGCCACTGTTCTTCTGATGTCAGGGAGAGTGGTTCCAACCAGTGGGTACACATTGTTTAGGGTGGTAGGCTTCAGACATCTTGTGATGCATCATCAGTTATCATTCAGGAGAGGGTCAAGGTGCATAGCATGCATTAGTCTCTCCCACTCAGGGCATGCATACTCAGCAGAGGAGAAGCTGAGAGCCAAAGCCCTGGTTTGGATGGCTGAGGGACTAGCTCCCCATTTTGAGTTGGTGAGTTTATATAAACTGTCATTATGAGTCCTCATGTTTGCTTCTGTCTACATGATGCATTCTTTGTATGAGAGGGTTTGATCAAGCGTGACTCCAAGGTAAGCCGGATTTGGACAGTAAGATAGCACAATCGCCAACCATTCAGTGTTGAGCTGGTTGTTGGCCTCATGATTTTTTTAGATGAAAAACTTGTGTTTATGCTGGGCTGGCATGTAATTGATTGTCAGTGTAGTATGACATTAAGCCGACTGGTGCCTCACTTAAGAATTTTTCAACGTGGTTAAAGCCAGTGTTGTGGGCTGTTACGCCCAGGTCATCTGCATAGATGAAACATTTTGTTTCTAGATAGATTACTGCTATATGAATGACCAGGCAATCAAAGTACACTTCCTTGGGGGAGGTCATTAATGTGTCTCCTCCATCTGCTTTCTTTCCCATCCTGTTTGACAAAAAAAAATCTGTTTTTAAGCAGGGTTTGTATCAGCTTTGTAAGGTGTAGAACTTCTATCATTTCCAGGGTCTTGTGGCGTGGGGGGGTGTTTAACTTTATTGTCGGTGGCTGTTAGATTGATGAACGCAGCTGATTCGGCGTCTTTCAAAACCATCCTCAGTATGTTGAGTTAGATTAAACAGCTGGCTGGCTCATTGTTGCTTTTCCAGGGCAAAAGCTGTGCTGTTCAGGGAGTACATGTTTATCCATGTATAGGGCAAGATGGTTTAAAATTAGTTGTTCATAACAATATGTATGTGTGGCATAGCAGAGAGACAGGTCTGAATCTCTTGGGTCTGATGGATCTTTCTCTGGTTTTAGAAGTGCCACTACCTGAGCATGTCACCATATCTTCAGAATTTTTTGACAGGCTGTGCATGACTTGTATAGACATAGGAGCCACTCTCAAATCTGGGGTCTGAATTTCTTGATTTGTCTGGTATGTCATCAAGGCTGACTGCTTTTCCGGTCTTCAGTACATTAATACCAGCATTTAACTCTGTCATTTGAGAAGGGGTTTGTAAAACCCAGGTCTTTGGGGTGCTTGTACCTTTCCAGTCTGAAGTTTTTTGTTTATTTTTTGTTTTTTGGGCTTTTTCCATTGAGAAGTATCTGGTGAGCAATTTGGTTAGTGGTGGCATTATGATGTTAGTCATTGGTCATTGCTTAGTTTACTTATTGTCACCCAAGCCTTTTTACTATTATGCATCATATC